GCCAGTTCTCAGGCATCTCTCCCTTGCTGGGCGGCAGCAGCTGCCACAGGGAAAGCCTGCACAGGCGGCTCCGTGGCCCCGTGTGTTCATCTGCAAGACCGAGTGAATGAGGAGTGTCGGCAACCACGTCAGCACTCACACGATGCTTCCTTAGGGCTTGTCTGCACTGTCCTTCTGGAAAGCCCATGACGCCAAGGCCAACATGGTGCCTTCCGGCCTGCCTATGGCATGTTCCATGCCTCAGTTGCCCCACCTGCCACTTCTTCAAATCATAGTGCCTGGCCTTGAAGGAGCACTCAGTGGCTTTCACGGCTAACTGCCTGCATGTGAGCAGTGCCCTCTTTCTTTCAAGATTTTGTTTCTTTTTATTGGAAAGGTAAATTAGATTTACAGAATGAAGGAAGAGACAGAGAAAGGGCTTCCATCCGCTGGTTCACTCCTCAAATGGCCACAAGACCAGAGCTGAGCCAATCCAAAGCCAGGGGTGAGCAGCTTCTTCTGGGTCTACCATATGGGTGCCAGGTCCCAAGGCTTTGGGCTGTATTCTGCTGTTTTCCCAAGTCATAAGCAGGGAGCTGGATGAGAAATGGAGCAGCCAGGGCACAAACTGCTGCCCATATGGGAACTGGTGCTTGCAAAGTGAGGATTTAGCCACTGAGTCACCTTGCAGCCCTCCCCCCCCTTTTTTTTTTCAAGTTTTAAGATTAATTTTTACAGAGACAGAGAGAGAGAGAGACAGATCTTCCATCTGCTGATTCACTCTCCAAAAGGCTGCAACAGCCAGGTCTGGGCCAAACTAAAGCCAGGAGCCAGGAGCTTCATCTGGGTCTCTACATGGGTGCTGGGGACCGAGCACTGGGCCACTTCCCACTGCTTTTCCAGGTGCATGGTTGAGGAGCTAGCTGGATCAGCAGTGGAGCAGCCAGGACTGAAACTGGAACCCACATGAGATGCTTGTGCAGGCATCTGGCATAAGCTACAGAGCACAATGCTGGCCCTTTATCTGTTGTTTTTAAAGATGTGTTTATGTGGGGGCCCAGAGGTGACCTAGCGGCTAAAGTCCACTTGAACGCACCAAGATCCCATATGGGCGCCGGTTCTAATTCCAGCAGCCCTGCTTCCCAACCAGCTCCCTGCCTGTGGCCTGAGAAAGCAGTTGGGGATGGCCCAAAACCTTGGGCCCCTGCACCTACGTAGGAGACTTAAAAGAAACTCCTGGCTCCTGGTTTCAGATAAGCTCAGCTCCAGGCATTGTGGCCATTTGGGGAGTGAACCATCAGATGGAAGACCTTCCTCTCTGTCTCTCCTCCTCTCTGTATATCTGCCTTTCCAATAAAAATAAATAATTTTTTTAAAAAGATGTGTTTATGGGAAAAGCAGAATGATAGAAAAAGCACAAGAGCCAGAATCTGCAGGTGCACTTTCCAGATGCTCAGGACAGCCAAGGCTAGGTCAGTCAGGCACTCCATCGGGGTCACCGCAGGTGGACCACCTGGACCATCTTCCACTGCTTTCCCAGCACCCACCAGCACCTACTAGGGATGCCAGCATCGCAGACAGAAATTTAACTTGCAGTGCCACAACGCTGGCCCCGGTACCGCCCCCCCCCCAACCCTGCGTGTTACTAGAGTGGCAAATAATTGGGCTTGCAGAAGATTCAGCTACGTTGGAGCAGTCCCACAAAGGGCCTGGAGGCTGGGGACGGGGGCTCCTTTGAGATCTGCAGAACAGGTCGCTGAAGACCTTAGGTTTCCACAAGCTCTAAACTCTGAAAGGCCCAGTCCAGCGGGCATCGACTTGCAACCAGAACCACCAGAACCGCAGTGTCTCGTGCCTTCACACAGGTGTTGAAGCACTGCCACAAGCGGTCATTGTGAGCGCCTGTTGACCCCATCCCGCCCCCCGAGACCAACCAGGTGGCCCACGCCCAGCCCAAACCGCTACCTTCCTGGAGCTCATGCCCACCCCGCCGTCGGGACCCTCGCGGTGGAGTGAGGAGGAGGAGGGCGCCCCCAAATGGGCAGGAAGCTTGGAGAGGAGGGTGGGAGATAGGCGAGGCCACCTGCCTTGGAGGCCAGGCCTTCCTCCCTCTGCTTCTCTCTTAGAATCCTGGGGGTTGGGAAGGGGGTGAAGGGATGCACTTGTCTTCTCGGCGCGGCGGGAAAGCTAAGACCCCAACGGGTGTCAGCGCTTTGCGGCAGGGACTGCAGTTTCTGTAGCCCAGCCTGCAGGCTTGGTTTAGACGATGCCCCGTAGAGGGTGCTGTTTGCCTGACTATGAATGGAGCCTCTCCCGCTCCCGCCCCCCACACACCTGCCACGTGCCCCCAGAGTCCCCGCCCGGAGACCCGTGTCCACGAACTTTCTCCAAGTAAAAGAGAAAGATCTCCTCCACGCTGTTTAAGCCCAGCCTCCCCAGTTCGGAAGATGGCTCGGGGGGGGGGGGGGGGAAGGGTTGTCATCTGAGCCACTGCTTCGTCCACACTCGTCTGGCTCACCAGCAGCGTGCAGCAGCGAGGAGAGACAGGGAACCTAGCAGGGCGACGAAGGACGAGCCAGCAGTCCTACTCCCACGTCGGCAATGGCCGGCCTAACCTGGATCTAGTCTCCCCGCTGCGATTGAGAAGCAGTCCACACCCCTAGACCGAACCCTCCGCGGCCTTCCCGCCTCGGGTGCCGGGCGCTTCTTCCAGGGAGAGGAGAAACGTTTCCGTTTCTCTCAGTCAAAAGGCGACTTCCGTGCGTCCGAACTTTGCCCAAGTTAGCCTGCGTCGTCGCTGAGCGGGCGGCGAGAGTTCGCACGCCACCCAAGCTCGCCTGGGCAGGCGGGGCTTCTCAGGCGCGGGGTGAACTGGGCGCAGGCAGTGGGCGCCGAACCCCGCACAGCTGGTGGGAGCGGCTGGTGCGGTTGGGGAGAAAATGACCGGGGGGGGGGGCGGCAGGAGGGCATGGTGTAGAGCTCGGGTTGGCTGACTTTGACCGCTGTCTCCCCCCTTTGCGTTCGCCTCTGAAAACCACCCTGTTTGCGTCTCTGATCGATTCCAACTCAGATTTTTGGATAGCGTAGGATTGTGCGTTCTAGGAAAGACCAGTTCAAATTCCAGGGAAGCCAGGCGTTGATGGCAATCGTTACTGTTGATAACAGCCCCAGATCATCGGAGTGACACAGCAGGGTTCACTCCTGTCTGCTCAGGGAAACAGCAAAACAAACAACAAAAAACAACCGCCCACCGAGATCCGTTCTGTGAAGCCACGGGTCCGAAAACATGAACCAGACCCTCTTTTCCCTCGGGGGTCCCCCCAAACCGTCTCCTCTGCTAATACAGGACAAGGGCGGAGGAAGGAGATGACGGGACCCCAAGACCGTGGGTGTGTGGGAGCAAAGGGCCTTGAGGCCAGTTTGCCACCTTTCTCTTTCCGGCGTCTATAGTAGGGACACCTCTCCGCTCCCCCGCGCACACACAGTTCTGACTTATCTGATGCTTAAAAAGCTGCGATCTGAAATGCGCGTGCCTAGGGCTCCTCGTGCCACTACAGGAGCCAGTAAGCCGACTTCTACCCACTTGCTCCTTCGAAGCCCTGCGCGACTCTCCGGGGACAAGGCTACCGTCGGGCTGCGCTTGGGACGCCGCGGTCCGGGTCACGGCGGAGGAATGCGCGCGGCCGCGCCTTCGGTTTCCCGCATCCCAGACAGCGGAGGCAGCTTTGTGCACCTGCCGCGGGGACCGAGCGCCGTCTTCTTCCGGCCCGCAGGCGCAGTGGGCGCGCTCGCCTCGGGCGCTGGCGGCCGGAGGAAAGGAGCGCCTTTTGGGGCAGCCGTCGGTGCGGGAACGCGGCTGCCCCAGCCACGGGGCCGGGGGACGCGCAGACGTCGGCGAGCGCCGCGCGCTCACGGCGGGACGCAGCCACGCGCAGTCGCTCCTGCTCCCCGGGGAAGGCTCACCCTGCAGTGCTCCGGGGCCAAAGGCCAAGACTACGTGGATTCTTGAGCCCGTAGACCCCCATCCCCTTCCTCTGTGCTAGACGGCGGACGGAGGACCCAAGTTCCCGCTCTTCGCGGCCGCGCTCTCCTAAACCGGCTTTGGGGGAAATGCACGAGCCGCCGAACCCCAAAGGGTAGGAAAGTGCTGCGTTCGCCGCGATCCGAAGTCGCGTCCAGCCTGCCTGCCTGCTGGGTTGGCTCTGCGTGGCTCTCCAGCCGCGTGGGAGCGGCGGGCCCCTGTCAAGCTCCTAGGCGCTGGGGAACTGCAGCTGCGAGCGCGGATAACCCCGAGGTGACCCGGCGGGCCCGGGCCCCCTCCCCCCTCCCGCAGGCCTGGCGGCGGAAAGCGGGGCCCCGAGCCGAGGGGGTAGTGGGGGGCGGGGGAGAGGGAGGCGTGGGCTCCGGGCTCGCGGCTGTAAGTGCGCTCGGGCCGGGGGCGCCGCCGGCTCCGAGTCCCTTGCTCGCCTCCTGCGCTCCCGGGGAGCGCTCCGAGTGCCTCTTTAACGGGAGCCAATATCCTTTTGTGCTAATAGGCTTGTCCTCATTTGCTGCCTAATTGGACTATATAAAGCCAATAACAGGCGGGCTCTTATAGCCCGAAGCCAAAGCGCCAAAATCCAAGGGAAGGAGAGGAGGGGGCGGTGGCGGAGGCGGCTGCGGGACCGGGGCTCGGCTGCGCCTTCGCCCGCCTAATCCCATTTGCCATTGTACGCGCCCAATCGCCGTATACTCCCCGCATTTAACTTGGATGACATTTTGATTTCATCATTAGCATCCGGCGCCGGACTGACGCAGCCCCAAGCCGGGGACTGCTCGGGCTGCCTCCTCCCGGGGAGCTGCAGCCGCCGCCGGGCCGCCTCGTTCTCCGGGTGTCGCGGCCGGGCCGCTCCCCGCCCTCCCGCACCCCTCCCCCCAAGCGAGCCCGCCCCGGCCGGGGCCTCACCCCGCCCTCCAGCAGCTGGATTTGCGCCCGGGGCGGCCCCCGACTTTGCGCCCCGTAGTTCAGTTCCGTTTATGGTCTGATTTCCGGCCGCTCGCCTGCTCGCCCGGCCGCCCGCCAGTCCCGCTCCCTCCCTCCCGGGGACCCGGAGGAGAGGGGACCATGCCCGAGCCCGGGCCGGACGCCCCGGGCACCGCCAGCGCGCAGCCCCCGCCGCCGCCTCCGCCGCCGCCCCCGCTCGCCGCACCCAAGGAGTCCCCGTTCTCCATCAAGAACCTGCTCAACGGGGACCACCACCGGCCGCCCCCCAAACCGCAGCCGCCCCCACGGACGCTCTTCGCGCCGGCCTCGGCCGCCGCCGCCGCTGCAGCCGCCGCCGCCGCTGCTGCAGCCAAGGGGGCCCTGGAGGGCGCGGCGGGCTTCGCGCTCTCGCAGGTGGGCGACCTGGCTTTCCCCCGCTTTGAGATCCCGGCGCAGAGGTTTACCCTGCCCGCGCACTACCTGGAGCGGTCCCCGGCCTGGTGGTACCCCTACACCCTGACCCCCGCTGGCGGCCATCTCCCGCGACCTGAAGGTACCAACCCCTCTCTCTCTCTCTGTCTCTCTGAACTTTTCATGCCCCCCTCCCCACCGTAGCCGTAGAACTGCCTCCTCCGGGGTCCCCAAGCCCGCGATTTGGGCAACTTGATGCCAACGTCTGCGGCCCCAGAGCTGCAAGCCCTGTCCACGCGGGTTCGGCCGCGCTGCCGGGGAGTCAGTCCAATCCCACTTGGTGAGAAAAGAAGTGGAGTCGCAGCCCGGGGGCGCAGCGCCTCCCGGGACTAGGGGTTTGGAGTTTGAATGGAGCCGCCCCAGACGGCCGGGCCTAGGGACGCGGCCTGGAAGGAGGGCGTGACCCGGGTGGACCCGAGCTGCAGGCACGTCTCTGTGCGGGGCCCCGAGGGCTGGGAAGCTGAGCTCTGGAAGGAAGCGACCGCGCCACCGTCCGCGCGCAGGTGTTCGGGTGCCGGGGTACCCCGCGCCGCGGGACGCACCTCCCCGAGCGCAGCCGGGAAACGCGGGGCGCCTGGGCATAGTGTCATGTCGCGGCCCAGGCCTTGCTCAAGGCTGCGTGTGTGTGTGTGTGTGTGTGTGTGTGTGTGTGTGTGTGTGTGTGTCCGTCTGTCTGTGTCTCCCCAGCCTCGGACAAGGCCCTCCTACGAGACTCCTCCCCCGCCTCGGGCACCGACCGCGACTCCCCCGAGCCGCTGCTCAAGGCAGACCCCGACCACAAGGAGCAGGACTCCAAGAGCCCCGACGAGATCATTCTGGAGGAGAGCGACTCGGAGGAGGGCAAGAAGGAGGGCGAGGTGGCGCCCGGCGGCGGCGGGGCCGGGGCGAGTGCAGGGACGGCAGCTGCGACGGCGGCGGCGACGCCGGGCGCCGAGGACTGGAAGAAGGGCGCGGAGAGCCCGGAGAAGAAGCCCGCGTGCCGCAAGAAGAAGACGCGCACGGTCTTCTCGCGCAGCCAGGTCTTTCAACTCGAGTCCACCTTCGACATGAAGCGCTACCTGAGCAGCTCGGAGCGCGCCGGCCTGGCCGCGTCGCTGCACCTCACCGAGACGCAGGTCAAGATCTGGTTCCAGAACCGCCGCAACAAGTGGAAGCGGCAGCTGGCCGCCGAGCTGGAGGCCGCCAACCTGAGCCACGCCGCGGCGCAGCGCATCGTGCGGGTGCCCATCCTCTACCACGAGAACTCGGCGGCCGAGGGCGCGGCGGCCGCGGGGGCCCCGGTGCCGGTCAGCCAGCCGCTGCTCACCTTCCCGCACCCTGTCTACTACTCGCACCCGGTGGTCTCGTCCGTGCCTCTGCTCCGGCCGGTCTGAGGCCCGAGAGAGGGGAGGGAGAGGGAGCGCCCGGCCCCCCTTCCCGGACCCCGGAGGAGACCTGGCCGGGCCCAGGGCGCCGAGACGTCCAGCGGCCTTCGGGGCCGGGGCTTGGACCGCGCCGCCCCGGCCTCCCCTCTCCCAACCGGTAGCGTTTTGTAAGTATTGGCAATGCATTTCCGTGCAATTCGTCCCTAAAGGATTTGAGGCGCTTCTCCTCTTACTTTTGATTTCGGTTTCTGTGACGAGAAAGCGGCAGGAAATACGGCATTCCCGGGGTGGATGTTTCTGCTGAAAGCCTTGGTACCATGTGCCCTGCCCCCACACCCTCACCCCCAAACTGGCGCTATGCTGTGGCTTTTTGTATTTTTATCTTTACGGAAGGAAATAAGCGTAGCTCCCTATCCCTCTGGGTTATCCATTTTCTGCAGAACGGCTTCCAGGATCCCGCCGCCCAGGAGTCCTCCTGTGGGGGAGGTGTTAGTTCTGCAGTTCTGGGTGTGGTTCTGTCCACCCACCCCCACCCCCAGTTCTCTCCTCTGGTTTGAGAACCCCCGTGGCCTCCTCTGAAAGACCTCCCACCACCACCTCCATCACCCGTCTGGCTTTGGGAACCGGAGGATCCCCTTAAGTGTCTAAAGGGCAAAGCCGAGGCAGTGAGACATCCAGTTCCACAGTTCCACCTGGGGCTTGATTGGGGTGGGCTTATCACGGGCATTCACCTGATTCTGAATTCCTGTTCCTATTACTATTGTGACTTTACTTCCTTTTTCGAAAGGATGGGTTCAGTATTTTTTTTAATGGTCATCTGTTCCCTTGTCCCCCCTTCTAACTCTCCCCTCCCGTAACTGGTGCCCTGGACCTGTGCAATACCCAACAAGATTTCCCGCAGCCCCGCAACTCTCCAGGGAGGGACGCAAGCCTTCCCACTGCCCGGCCACCATCGTTGGCTTAGAAAGAGAAAATGAAGCAGGGGAAGAGGGGAGGAAAAAGGGCAGGGAGTGATGCTCTAAGGACTAGGCTAAGCATACTGGAGCGCTTTAAGTGAAGGACAATCATTTTAGGAGAATTTTAACTTATTTGATAAATGTACAGATTTTCTTGTAAAGTTTGCCCTCCCAGAGTCTGCAGAGCTCCGGCTCTGTCACCCTGTTTTCTTTCTGTCTCTGCTAGGCTGCGCCTGTTGTCCAGCGATAGTTTGTTAACCCCTCATCCTCCTAGCCCTGGGTTCAGTCCCTTTTTCAGGAGAGAGAGAGAGAGAGACACTCACAAGATATTGTTACACTTAATGTTGTCGTGACATTGAATTAATTAAAAAAAAAAAGTGAAGCCCTTGGTGTTGGGAGTGTGTAATTTCGGGCGATTTTTTCCCTGAGCAGGTGTCTCCGGAATGCTCCGGCTTCCTCCTCGGGGCCCAGTGCGACTTGGATGGTCTCCCCCATAATCCGGGAGGCACTGGACGCAGAGGTGGCTTTGTGTGCAGCCGGGGGCGTCCTCTTGACCGGGTCTTCTGCAGTTTGGAAGAGCAAGGGGCGGAAGGGGTGAGGACCCAAGCTGTGTGCAGTTTGTGAAGCCGAATTTCTAAGGGGGCTGCAGCGGCAGCTTCTGGAGCAAGCCCCTTGGGGCACTAGTCCGCTGGCTGGGTCACTGGCCCATATATAGTTGCAGGCCCATCTCCGAACCAGATTGAAGGAGACTGGGCCTCAGGAGGGCAGCCCTGGGAAACCCAAGCAACTCGGGAGCGGGTGGGGGGTGCTGGATCCTGGCTCCCACTTACAGACCAGGGTGATTGCTGCAGTTCTGGGATGCCCCAACACACACCGTTTTGTCCCAGGCTGGGCTACCCGAGGCTCAGTGCCATGCAACAGAGGCCATCTGGCTGGGGCTATGTTATTAGTCAAGACCTTGCAACTGTCCTAACCCCAGCACCTCTGGAGCTCCTCTCTTGGTCTCCCGCTGCTGTCCTGTCCCGGAGCTGCTGGGCTCCTGGACCACTAAGCTCTCCATGAGCAGCTTGCTGGGGCACAGTATGTCAGGCCAGCCTGGAACCGCAGATCTGCCAGGCACAGGCATGGGTGCCATTGGTAACAAGCTGGGGGCCTGCACAGGCACACCCTGGCCAAGCCACTTTGCAGCGGGGGCGCTGGAATGGGGAGATGAGGTTAGTGAGACTTGGGAGAGTCCACATGGGGCATAACCGCTGGGAAGCGCCTGCAACAGGCTCCAGCCTCCCTCACCCTGAGCCTGGCCGGGCTCCTTAAGTTCAATCGACACAATTAATTCTATGGTGGCTGAAATGTCAGTATCGTTTTCTGTTGAAGGAAAACTGCTTCCAAATAAACTGGCATGTGTATTTAGGGCAAAATTTTACTCTGGACCCCAGTGAAGATAGATTTTATTTTCCTCTGGTTTGGAATAAAAATGAAGGCGTGTGTTGTAAGTGAAAAAATAAACAGGAATTCAGGGTCAAAATATGTTGTTTCTTGTGTTACCTGAAAACACAGTGATGCCTTTTACTGTTGGCAATACTAACTGTGGGACGGGCCGATAACCGCTCATTAAAAATAATGTTGCAACAGCAAACACGGCCTTAGATTTTACGGCCAGTGCACGAGGCAATTAAATGGCAAGAAAAGACTTCTTTATTTGTTTGGATTCCAGAAAACGGTTCTTGACAGACCCGGTCTTTACCAAGTCAAGAACTAACTGGTTCTCCATCAGCGAAGTTTAGCCTTTGTTCGGCCACCAGCAGCTTCACTTTCCCTTTTCTTGGGGAGCCTGTGTGCCCTGGGTTGTCCTCTGTAGACCCTGGGGGTGCTGGCTCTAGGGGAGGGGGCTCTGACTGGCAGGTAGCCCTGTAGGGTCAAGAGCCCTGTGGGGTCAAGACCTTCCTTGCTGGTGGGGGCCCTAGTCTTGCTCAGTGACAAAGGAGTTGAGTTGCAGGGTGGTGGAGCAGGTGTAACTTCAGCCTCCTGTCAGGAGGGGCCAAGAAAACACTTGCTGGAGTTGTCCTATCTGAAGAACCCCCACACAGAGCATCCTTGCCTGTTCCCTCTGTGTGGCTGGAGCCACGGGAATCACTCCCCAGAAGGGGACTTTTTGAATGGCTGAAATCTCTGAGGAATCCCGC